GTATAGTATGGTACAGTACAGTATAGTATAGCATAGTATAGTACAGTATATTAAACCATACCATATCATATTATATCATAATATATTAAACAATATCATATTATCATCTTATCTTGTCCTGTCTCGTACTAACTCAGATTATGTGATATGACAGTATATGACATGGTAAGATATGATATGACATGATGTGATATGAAATGACATGATATGATCCGGTATGATAATATGCTATACTTTCCTATACTATGCTATACGATGCTATACTGTATTAAATTGTATTTATGCTGTACTATACCATATTATATTATGCTTAAACTATATCGCATTAGGGTTTAGGGTTTAGGGTTTAGGATTTGACATCACATTTTAATGCTGTACTGTACTATATTTTGTATTGCTTCCTGATACATAATATTATATTGTTTGTCTTTATCTTGTTTTTGTACCTTCTATATGATATTATTGTTCTGAATATTCTTATGTTAAACGAGATTAGATTAGGGCGGATTGACTGGATTAGGTTAGAATGGACCGGATTAGATTGCATTAGGTTGGATGGGATTAGAATGGATTAGATTCGATTAGGTTAGATCACACTAGAATATATTTAAGTTCTTTCCCAACCGCAGCGTAAAGGATTCAGGGTCACCAGCACTACCTCACTCCCGAAGCGTCCCAAGCTCCTGGAGCTCTCGAACCTGCTGGTGGGGCAGACTTGAAAGAAAGGGGTTTAGAGTTTAGGGTTTCTGGGTTCATGGAAGTCGTAGGTTTTGGGGTGAAGCTTCAAGGTAGTTGAGGGCTTACAGCGTGTAGGATGTAGGGGAGGACACAGCCCCTTTACATCCACGTTCGTCTCGACTTGACTCTAACCGTACCCAGCTTGAAGCCTTGATGTTGCACTTTCTGATAATCCTACCCGCAGCTGCATCATCCCGACCCTCATCACCCTACAGCGGCCACGTACAGCGCGGGTCAGGATTTCGTTTGGTGTTATATTCTACTAAAACTATAGTGGAAGCCGTAAAGGATACGTTGGCTACAAGCCCCCGAAACCACCTCGCACTGTTTTGGGCCTCTTGGCTGCGCTCCCCAGCTACCTGCTCGTAGTCGTTGGCCTGGCGAATGCACCGTTCGCCGGAATTTCCCCTTTCCCTGTACTTCGTGGATCTGTCAACAAACATACTAGCCAAAATCTCGGCAAGTGGGGCTTTGCTGCTTATTATTTTCGATTAGGTTAGACTCCAAAAACAATGTAATGTACCGGCTTTCAGATTCCGCAGCCAGGAATTGGGCGAGGACAAACCTCCTGCTCTGAACCAGAAACCGCCCCCCCTACCCTGCCGAACACCCACGGTTTAGGGTTTAGGGCTTAGGGTTTAGGGCCTCAACCCTGAACCCTAAATCCCCGAAGCCTCACATGCTCCCGGTCAGCCTTCTGCTCGACTTCGGAAAATTGTCGGCACTTCAAGCCTCGGGTTTGGGGTTCTATGAGGGATACAAAATGGGGCTAAAGAGAATCGGGTTCCTTTGCGGCTTCGTTGCAAAGGTGTCAAGGGCTGCTTTTTTGCGGGGGGGCTTAAAAGGCATGGTGGCCTATAATCAGGGCTACTCCAAGGATTGTAGGGTTAGTGGAGGGCCGACAGAATTGGAAGAGAAAAAGCTCCACGTCGGCTGGCCTTTGAAGCAAAACAGTGTGTTTGTGTCCGAGATAGGATGGGAGCAAAAGTTGGCAACCTGCATCTGCACTGCCTGGGATCGCAGCATGATCGACTCGCAATTTTAGAGTCGAGCCCTACAAGCACACGAAATCCATTCATGCCAAAATCTTCTCCTGAACCGAAATGAGCTTCAGCAAAACAACACGCTCTTGCAGCAGCAAGCTTCTGTCCGGACACAGCCGGAGCAAGAACATCCGCCATGTAGGGCTGAGCACGCAGCTGAGCATCTTTGAGATCTGCTTGTTTTCGGCGGCAAACTCCTTCTGCTGCTGTCAGAACCAGCTTTGACATGTTTTGTCGGGAAGGCTGTCGCATCTCTTGGAAAGATGCTGTGCAAACTCGACATGGGCTGAGTCCGCACACTGCCCGATACAAATCTCCTGCAACACCTCTACCACCCTAAACCCTAAGCCCTAAACCCTAAACCGTCTTACCTTGCTGCCTTAAAACCTGGAAACCTGGCTTCAACATCCTCGTTGCGCTGGCGGTTGTGCATGCTGATGAGCTTCGGAAGGCTCTCGCACCTCGGCACCCCGCACTCACAAAGCACAGAAAAACCGCACTAAGCACAAAAACCCCAAAACCGAGACCCCAAATTCCGCATCATTGCCTTTGGGCAACACCCTTCTCTGTATCACAACCTCGTCCGAGAAGGCACAAGAAAAGGAGTACAGGACTACTTGCGGCATGCCCAAGATCTCGGGCATGCTCAAGCCCGAGGGCCTTGCCGGGTCCAGCCTTCTTCCAGGTTCTCAAGCTCTCTGTTTCCGACAGACTAGACACACTCAGCATTTTCTGTGCGGAAACCCATGGACAATGATAAGCAGGAGACCAAAACAAATCGAGCATCAACACTGCGATATCCAGCATCAGAAAGAAATCATCACCGTCCTCACCGTCATCATCTTATAATCCATCAAATCCTAAACCCTAAACCCTAAACAATCTTCCTTTTCATCGTGCTGAGCATGACGCATGAATGCAGCTGCGGACAGCCTGTCCGCCCAGAAGTCAGCCTCGCAAAAAGATAACAGAAGGGGCCTTATAATAATTACCTCTACTATTTTGGGAGCTCCGCCCAGAGAACCCAATATACCTTAATTAAGGAATATACCTTATATTATAGGGCTCTTAATATTATGATTTAAGGTATAGTCCTTAATTACGGGGTATTGGGTTCTCTGGGCTTATGATAACCGCCGAATACTTTATAATATACCCCCAAAGCCTATTCTAATTGTTAGGGCCCTTATATTATGCTACTGGTTCCGGATGTTGAGGCACTCGGCGGCCTCGTCGTCATTCTCAAGCACGATAGACATGGCCAGCTCACCATTTCGGAGAATGCGGATCTGGACGTGATCGCTTGGGTATGGTTTGGGGCTGTCCGATGTTTCGCATTTGGTACATGTTGCGGGTTTCCGAAAATAGGGAACCCTAATACAGTACCCCAAATAGTAGGATCGATCTTATAAGGGCCCTAAATAAGGTACCCTACTGTTCGGAAACTTATTGCATTTCTGAGTGGGTCCCGGACTCGCTACAATGGATGACCCTAACAAACAGTGAACTTTGCGGTTTAGGGTTTAGGGTTTAAGGGTTTCACCACCGTGAAGACCAGCCTGGAAACCCAACTTCAGAAATCCTTGCAGGAGCGAACCCAGCAAAGTAGATGCGCCTCGCTGTCACGTAACTCCACATTGGCCCCCTGCCTGAAGTAACTTGCTCTGAGATCACTTTTTTTGTCGGGAGGGGGGGGGGGGTGAGGGTTCGTCGCTTTGATGCCAGATAGCAGAATAGCATGAATCTAGTAACATACGAGGTGCTGCCCAGCAGAAGTAGCCGAAATAAACACATCCTGACAATTTCCCAGAAAACCCTATACCCCTTCATGAAGGAATGTACCTCAAATTATAGGGGCCTTAATATTGTGATTTAAAGTATATTCCTTAATTAAGGGGTATTGGGTTCTTTGGGTTCGACCTACCGAAAATGTCAAAAATGGTCTCCAGAGTCCAGGTTTGCCTGATGCTATGTCACGAGTTTCGAGCGCACGCAGAGATGACCGAAAATAAAACCATCCCAACGAAGACCGAAGCTGCGAATGCCCAAAAGAGCCCAAAGAGAGAGAGTGCCTCCGAATTACAACTTCTGCCCTGCAGCAGAAACCCTACACCCCAAAACCTAAACCCTAAAATCCTGAAACCCTAAACCCTGAAACCCTGAAAGCCTAAACCACTTCTGCAGCCGATGTGCAAGTGGATAGATCCTTCTGCCAGTCCTGGCGCCTGTTTGGTCCACAACTTGTTGTTCATTTAAGCCGCGGCTTTAGATTGGGGTGTTTAGAGTTTAGGGTTTAGGGTTTAGGGATTAGGGTTTAGGGTGGGTCGGGGTTTAGTGGTTCAGCGGATCGGGCTTCCAGAGGTGTCTAGAACGTCTCACGCAGTCACTTTTTGCAAGGCTTGTATGCTTTCCTGAGGCTCTGGCCGTGCCGTACATCAGCAGATCTCCGACCAAGGTAATGTGACCTGCTAGCTTTGCAAGCGACTGTTGAACCTCGGGCTCCAAATAATCTGAGCTTCAGGCGTCGGTGGCTCGTAAGCGCGCCCGCAATGTAGCAGGAGGCCTGCATCAGCATGTCACGATTCGGGTTTAGGGTTTAGGTGCGACCACCAAAACGCTTCGCCCCCTGCCTCTCCAGTCAAACTGGTTGCCGTTGACGGCCTCTTCTTGACAGGAACCTTTTCACCCGTGCCATCGATTACAGTTCCATTTCACTCACACGGTGGTCTCAGTGAGCTGCGACAGATGTTGCGCTGGCATAGCAGCAACAGTCCGTCTGGTAAGCGATGAAAGCTATAGCGCCTCCTGGCGTGACGAGAGCTGCGCAGCAAAAGTCCTGATCTAATCGCACGTGCTTGTGGCCTGCCGCCATTGCGGCTGCAGCTCCAACGGCGGCCATGGCTCAAATGCGCATATGCTTTGAAAACAGCAATTTCTGGGCATTGTGCAAATTGCCTGCATTTGTCACGGCCTCCAAACAAATCAGTCTTCTTGGAACAGCAAACCGCTGGTGGACGGGCACGGGAAAACAAAAAGCAGCGTGCCGAATGCATTCAATCCTAACCAACAAAAAGTCTTCCTGCGGACAAAACGAGGAAACAGGTCCGGGATGAGGAGCGTTTGTGAGAAGAATACCAAGCGAATCATGATTGCAGCCATGGCGAAATTAGTCTCGGTGATCTTCGTAATCATGATTCGGACGTTGCCTGTGGTTGCAATCAGTTTTCACCTTCAAAGCCTTAAACCAAACAGCTTCCTCATCATCATCATCATCATCAGCACAGCCAGACAGTGTTAGCATGTCACCCTCTCACTCACGCTTTGAAAACATTTCATGGGCATGGTAGCACAAGAACCAAAGTGCGCATCAACGACGACCACGACGACCACAACGACAAGGACAACAACGACAGCAATTACAACACCACCAACACCAACACCAACACCAACAACACCGCATTAACATTAACGGCGCCCTGACGAGTTCCACCACAGCAGTTCGGCAAAAACTCTGATGCTTTTGGCTGATCGCGGTCATCAACCAAACATCTGGCTCACGTCGTTGTATGGCGCCACCTCCTGGCAAATCTCAAACGTGCACTCAACTCTACGTAAGTGACGTTGTGGGAGCTTCAGTGATATGTCTGCCTCCTGGTCCTCTTCGAACTCGTCGAAAGACTCAGCACAGCTCGCAAACACGTTGCACATGCCCTTCAGTTGCCACATCCGCTATGACGCCAAAGTCTGAGAGAGTCACATCCCAATGCTTGGCCATGTCTTCATCACTCAAGTCCTGCTTCTTACGAAATAACGCCCACAGCAATGTCAATGTGATCGCAACAAAACATATCTATGGTCGACTTGCAATTCTATCCTCTTCTCCATGATTTTCATCCCGTAGGTCAGCCACCTTTGCACGGCGCGGGCTCGACAGAAATTGGCTCAACCTGCCAAAAATCAGGTACTTTGCGTGCCTCCTCTCGGCCTTCTTCCTGCAACTCCTGGCTGGAACAGTCGATCACCGCATAGTTCTTTGGTGTGGGTGGTTGCATGTTTTCAGGTTTGGGTTCGGAACAACTAGTCTTGCCAATGGGCCTTTCTTGCAATAGCATCCACGGCAATGTTGTTAGAATGTTGGACCCTGCTTCTTGAGGCCACCTCACACAAAACGCACTCAGTTTGCTTTTGAACAGTTCATGCTGTTGTCACGCGATGAAGTCAATCAAGCTCGGCAACACATACGAAGAACCTGACCATTTGACAAGTGCTCCCGGTTGCGGAAAAAACCTTCGTACATGATGTGGTCGCTTGTGGTTGGCTGGCACTTTTGCATGCTGCTGACGTCGGAATCGAGCTGTCTTGTGTATCAGACCGACCGCATCGATCAAGGACTCACCGAGTTAAGGGTGTAGACTCCAACCACAGCATACTTACGGGAGCAACATGTGGACCCGTCACATGTTCTCCTGCAGTTGGCTCGTTGTCGGTTCATTGCGCGAACCGCTGTATCAGTGCTGTTCATCACCTTTCGTCAGTCATTAAGGGAAGTGTTTTCAGGATCCAACCGTCGACGACAACGCAAAGCTTGCTTTTACATCATGCAACCGAACCGCTCTGGAAACTAATGTGTCAGGTGAGGAAGATCATGAAAGCCGTGCTAGAATTTCGTGAACATTGCCTGAGTGCCCACATCGATCCCCCTTATGCCACATCTCACATCTCATCTTTTCAACCATCCCTGAAGGCCTTGATTGGCCTGTTGTTTTTGTTGTTGTTGTGGACACACACAAATATCAAGCAGTGGCATCGAAGCATGGCACGGACAAGGATTGCGAATTGCAACGTATGTTGTGAATTTGGAGTCCCAATTATCATCATGAGTTCAAATTGTATTGTAGTGCATTAGCCGATGTTACTCATCAGATTCGTAAAACACGCCTGTCTCGCTGCATCCAAGTCATTATTCAGCATCGCATCAACTTGTTCAAAGATGTGCTGCGTAGCATTGGTGGTGCCACCGACCGGGAAGCTTCAGGAAGTTTGCAAAGCCCCTCAAAAAGAGCAGAGAGATGCTTTTTTGACAGAACGCACCGACAACATCTTCGCGAAATGCAGGGAGTGAGACAATGCAACCAGCAGCACGCACGACATACAACATCTTTGCGGGGGAGTGTTTTTGTTTTTTCAACGAGAACATGCTTCTCACATCCGCTTTGTCCGTGAGCGCTTGGAGCAAACCACGTGAAAAACCATTCCCGAGTCCTAAAACACAAGTTCATCAGCTTAAGCAAAACAAAATAGCCCTGGAATCAGAAGGTGGTCACAAACGACCATGAAGTCATTTTGCATGCCTCAAAACTTGCAGGAATTTGAATGAGTGTGTGGTTCATGAACCGGCCAAACTGGCCGATCAGCGTGAGAGACTTTCGTCAGAGCTACGCAACAACATGAATCCGTAGCATCTTCATGCGACGCATTGAAAGCTCAGAATATTGACCGGAACACATGCCAGGTCTGCAAACGAAGCAGTCACACATAATATGTAACACACACACACAGAGATGGATTTTGGCAAAGAGACGAGGTCGAGGCAAGCAAAGTGAGTTAGGGTGCGGTGTTGCGTATCAACATGATGCTGCACACTCAACGTCCGCTACTGCAAGCTTCGCTCAAGTTGTCCAGTGCACAGAAGGATACACCCAGCATACATTCCCTAGCACATGGGAATAGAGGGTCACTCCTCTTGGGTAGGTTTTACTACGAGCCAACGAAGACACTTTTCCATGGCCTGCGATATCAGCTCTGGACGCAGAGCTGACGTTGCTGGGCCCCGTGCCTCTTACTGCTTCCTGCTCGATTGTCTTCATCGAATCCTCAGCGTCGGCAACCATGTTGTGCGCATGCCTGTCCATCTTGGTAGTCATCGTGATGTGTGTGTGTGTGTGTGTGTGTGTGTCCCAATTGGCCAGATGAGATGGTGAAGGTACGGTGACGACGACGAAGTTGATGCTGCTGTTGGCAATCTCAGTCGGTGTGCTGTCGATGATTCGAAGCTCCGCTGCCGCTTCCGACCATTTTTTCGTCCATTGTTGTCTGAGAATCTCTGCGATGGCGGACATGCAACTTTGAATTCAAGCAGTTCCGTAGAGCCACGCCGCGGGGTTGTACTTGTCGGGGACTGCCCTATTTTCAAACACGAGTGAAGATGGAACCCCTGTAGGAGCGTGGGGTCGGTTTGGTTCTTGAAGGAAGCCAAAGTGTTTGCCTTGCTGGAATCGTTGTCTATAAG